GATTTCTAAATGAACAATAAAAGTATTATATATAATAGTTTGTTTATATTTTTTCTGAAGGGCTTCCCCACACCAGTATTTTATTCTAGTTCTGTTACTATTAATTTTTTACACTTAAAGCTTTAACTTCTCTAGAATATCTTCAGTGTAAGATATAAAGTCAATATTTAATATCAGTTTATTTCTAAAATAAACAACTCTGTTTATCTTAATATTAAAACATCTACACATTTGAAATTAAAATTCAGAAATTGAAAGAAGAGAAAGCTAATCTTGTGTGAAATTACGTCAAGATTTGGTTAGATACTAAATTAACACATAAGGGAACTGGATGTTTTTAATTGTTTTCTTTCATCACAGGGACGATGTATGAAAAGCATGGTTTTATAATACTTAAAAAAATTATTGAGAAAAATGACACATTTTACTAGGAAAGTGTTTTAATAAGAATATGAAGCGGAAACATAGTAAATTATTTTATTTATTTATTTTGATTTTTTTAATGTTTATATATTTTAAATTTTCATATATTAGCTTCAAGTGTACAAAACAATGTAATAGTTAGACATTTACACCCCTCACGAAGTGTTAACCCCCCTGCCCCAATCTGCTACCTCTCTGACATCGTATATAGCTGTTACAATTCCATTGACTCTATTCTGTATGCTGTACTCCACATCCCGTGACTATATATACATATATATATATATATATATATATATTTGATATTCAATATTATTCAGCTTCAGCTTCAGGTGTACAGCACAGTGGTCAGGCATCCACACAGTCTATGAAGTGATCCCCCCTAAGCCCAGTACCCATCTGGCACCCTACATAATCTTTACAACATTATTGATTATATTCCTCATGGCTGCTACATGGGAGGGGGGTTGGGGAACAGGGGAGAAGGTGAAGGGATTAAAAAGTACAAATTGGTACTCACAAAATAGTCACGGGAATATGAAATACGGTATGGGGAATAGTAAGTTATTTTAAAACACGCAGAAACTGATATAACACTTACTCCTATTCTACACAATAAATTATTCATATCTATTATTTTCCATGAAGTATATAGGAGAAGCCATCAATTCCTGAAGACTGTTTTGAAGTGAGGGAGTATGAAAATTATGTGTTAGATGGTCTCAAATTCCACCCTACTATTAACAAAATGATATTGCCATAGTAAAATAATCAGAAGATTTTTGACTGATGGCTTTAGAAATGTTATAGCCTAGTAATCATTTGTTATTAAAAAATATAAAGTATAATTTTTCACCACCATTTTTGATGTGAAGAAAAGCTAGTAGTTTTCCTTTCCAAATTAACTTATGTCTTTGCAAAGGTAATTCATTTATATTTTTCAAAAATTAAAAAATAGACAGAAAAAGCCCCCACTTCATCTACCATCTGCCCTACCATCACCAAGCAATGATTTTAGTTCCAGAAATATATCTATAAGATGAATTCCTGGAAGTAAAATTCTGGGTCAAAGGTTACATGCATTTGATAGATATTGCCAAATTATCTTCCGCAAGGGGGTGTACCAATAAGCACAGCCCATCAGACATGTGTTAAAGTCTGTGTTTTCCACAACCTTGGCAGTGTAGTGTGTTTTCAGACTTGGATGTTTGTCAGTGCAGTAGATGGAATTTTAAGATCTCTCATTATGACCAAGGCTTACCTTCTTTTTGTATGTTTAAAATCCATATGTGTTCTATTTTGTGAACTGTCCTTAACTTTCATCCAATTTCCTCTTGGGTTGTTGGCCTGTTTCTAATTAATTAGCAGAAGCTTTATTATGTGTTAGGAAAATGAATCCCTTAACTGAAATGTGATTCACAGATATCGTTTTTTGCAATTTGTCATTTGACTTCACTTTTAGTTTTCTTGGCCATGCAGAAATTCCTGACGTTGATATAGTCCAATTTACTAATATTTTTGTGTGTCAATTAAAACTGTTTAACTTGAGGATAAAATGACATGTTTTATGTTGTCGACAGCTCTGGATATGTACTGCTTCTTACATTCAGAAAAGAAGTTAATTCTCGATTTGGAAAATGTATTTTATTCAACAGCTATTTATTGAAGGTCTGTCATGTGTAGAAAACCAGTTCATACAGAAATCAAAGCTCAGTGAGGGACGGCAATGTAAATAACAAATTAAACAGTGTGAGGTAAATGCTATGGTGGGGGAAAGCCCCAGGTCTGTGAGGATATACTTAATGCAGATGCCGTAACTAAGCTGAAGACTATGTGCACCCCACAGTCTCATGATACATTATCATTTAATTATTCCAGATATTAGCCAAATCTCACCAATTGCACTGCTTTCTGTCAGGGATTGTTCGATCTCTATAACCAGGAAGGGGTGGGTTGGGAGGATGAGAAAGAAACCAACAATCTTAGTTAAAATTTATATATATTTCTGTGCTTATAGATGAAGACTAAATGAAACACAAACTATTTTGTGATCAGATACAAATGAGTTCATAGCTCGATTTTAGAGATCTTAAGAAAATATCATGGCTATTATCTCCATAGCCTCGGAATCCAGAGGCTCTTAGATGCTGTAAATTGAAGCTGTAAAATGCTTTTTACTTGTACTTGTCAGTAGGAAACGATGCAATAAAAAGAAACTAGTTACCTCCTTATAAATGTTGAAAAAGAAAAATTAAGGGCACTATTAGATTATACATTATATACATGGAATTACATTTGTGATATCACCTGTCACAGACACACACACATTTACACACATTCACACACACACACACACACACACACATGCACACGCACACAAATATAGTTTAGTACCATAGATGTCTTTATGGGTTAGAACTCATGAAATACAAATAGGCATTCATTTAGTACTATGTTTACTTGGCGGTGTAGCAGGATACAAGTCAGACAAAGCATCCTGATTCATTATTCCTGGACAAATGTTCCACATTACCCACACACATTGCTTCTTTTGATGCCTCACCCACACCAGGAAAGGTTGCCAAGAATGAAAAACCAAGGTTTGTGCACGTCACTTTATAGAAGCCACAGTCTCTGATTCCCCTCCATATTTTACATCATTTCAGCCATATAGACTCCAGGTCTGTATTCTAACTCAGAAATCCCAGATCCAGATACAGTTCCATACAACAGACAAGGCAGGCCCACCGTTTCCCATGCATCTTAAACCCATTGCTCCAAGGAGACATTGATGAGAGAGCCTGAGGTCAGGCCCAGGCTGACCTGCATCAGCCCGGGCTGGATGTTAACCCTTTATTCATGCATCCACGTGCAGTTTTGCAATATGTATAAATGTATGTGCAACATCTATCAAAATGCATATTGTTTACATATAATAAGAGTTTATATAAAATTCCTTCCCCTGTAAATGAACTGACTGGTTATTTTGTTCATTGATGTGTCATCTTCTTTTCACCCCACGACTTTTAGGTCCAATGAAAGAATGTAACTGTTATATTGTTTCATACACCTGAAACAAACAAACAAAAAAAGTGTGGGGCGCAGGCAGAAGGACCCAGTGGGTGCCAGAGGGCCAGGTGCTATACAACATGACCCTTGCCAGGACCCCTCTCCCATATTTTGTAAAACCTGTATAAATCCTTGGTGGGATTGAATTTTTTTGTTGTGGGCAAACAAAGAAAGAAAGAATCTAATGTTCATTAGTTAGTTCTTTTAAAAGTATCTAAAGCAATTGCTGCAAAGTGTAGGGCATCATTTAGATGATACCCTAGTGTAGTAGTGTGCTTATCTAGTTACTTTTAAAATGTTCTCTATTATTATTCATAGTACCATGATAATATTATTATGTGATTGCTATATATTATAACATTTTTGTTCATGTTACAATGTAATGTTATAGTTATATTATTAGAATAGCATTAATATTGTTCTAAAGACTTGCCACTGCAGGTTCACATTCTTTATTTCTGTGTGCCTGTTTTAGCCCTTGATGATCTGAAGAAAAAATCTTTACCCTTGCTTATTCTGGCTTTCTACTTACACTTGAGCTTGAGCAATAATCACTAATATTTAATGACTTTATTGTCATTCACCATCATCCAGAGCATTGCTCTAAGCTATTTACATGGACTACTTTATTTAATACTTACAGTGACCCTATGAAGCAGATACTATCATTGTCCCCAAGAAAGTACCAGGAGAGTGCTGGAACTAGGATTTAAAACCAAGGGCCTAACTCTAGACCCCAGAGTGTTGAACCGCATATCATACTGCTTCCCAAGTCACTTTACATTCTCAACCCCAATGCTATCATTCATTTATAAAACTGGGATAGTAATAGTATCTATATCATAGGGTTGTTAGGTAGATTCAAGAAGATAATACATGGGAAATTTGCAAGCACGGTGCTTGGCATATAGTGAGCCCTTAATAAAAATAACCTGTAATCATTCTTTTATAGTCTGCTCTCATCCAAATGTTCTTTGTACTTTTTATTCCAATTATCTGATTCTGTTTTGCTTGGTTATACTCGGGCCTACACACTATAGCTCACAAAAATGCTTACCTCACCAATTTTCTTTGTACATGAAATAATTTCCTTGTACAGTTTTTCTTAACCTAAAAGAAAGTTAGAAAGAAGTATAAAGGCAGAGTGCCGGGCCTATAATATACAACACACCATTATGTTTAATAAGTGAGGGGTTAAGTAAAGAATACACTCCTTTACTTTTATTGGTTAGGGTTGGGTTTACATTTGTGTGGCTGTGTGTTTTGAATTTCCAAGAAAAAGCTTATTGTCGTTTAAGCATATAGTTTGGGGGAAGACTAGTAATCAATGATTTGCAATACATAAATTAAATCCTACCATGTAACACATGCAGGTAATCAATATCATGCTGTTAAAATACCAAATACAGTATATTTCCATAACATTTTATAACAAATAACTTGAAAATATGTCTCTTTCCATTTTTGTTTAAACCATAAGAATCTTTTCTGGTTTTGTTTCCCTACAGGTTTCTAGACATTTGCCTGAGAAACAAGGGGAAATTGAGGCACACATCAAAGACCTTGGACAGTTTGAAGAACAATTAAACCATCTGCTTCTGTGGCTTTCTCCTATCAAGAATCAGCTGGAAATTTACAACCAACCAAATCAAACTGGACCATTTGACATTAAGGTAGGGACTTCTTGCTTTACATATTGTTTTCCAAAAGAACAGCAATATCACAAAACTAAGTGTCTCCTTTGTTATCCTGATCATCGTTGTCGTAATGTTGGTTATCGTTATCATTGTTATTACTATTATTTAACTAGCATGTTCTTCCAGCATTTACTAGCAATAATGTATTCATTAAACTCATATCACTAGAATGCCTTCATCATATTGCTATTCCTATCCATTTTCCATCCATACTTAATTTCCTTAATTTCTCTTTGTAGACTCCTTATCTAAAACTGAAGTCATTTAGGAGATTAGATGCCTACGAAACAAAGTACAGACTCTTTAGTAGACACTATAAAACTCTCTCAGACTGACTCCAGTTTACCTTTCTCTCCTCTTATTCTGGCAACAGCCTCGCCTTATAGTCTAGTGGAACAAATTATCTGGTATCTTTATATGCATGTGGTTTCATGCCGTCTCTGTTCTTCATCTTGTCTGTTCTTTAAATGACTTCTTTCCCTTTTTTTCACATGATGCATTTTCCTCCATCCTTCAAGACTGAATTCAATGTCTTTGCTTCTTCAGAGCTTTCTTCCGCACCCCGCTTAGATTTAAAAATCCTTTTAGGATTTCTTATAAACCTCTGTATCCATCTCCTGTGGCCTTTTTACATTGATTTACTGAAATTTTACAGGCCTGAGTCCCTCATCACGTTGTTCTTTGAATGCAGAGGCCATGTTCTTAATTATTCCCTTATCCCACTTATTGCTGAATACCTCCATCCCAGGACTCATTGTATGGTAGGTACTTGTTAGTATTTTTGAATCAACAAATAAAGATGGTAACAAGGCACCAAGAATGGTAATGAGATGCTTGAGTAAGCCTAGGGCTCTAGACAAACATGCCAATTGGACACCACCATCGCCTTTTTTAGTGTCCCTGTGCACATTGATTGTTCCTATCGTCTCTCCATTCCCAGGATCATATTCTAAGGACTTCTCCCAACATGAGGCCCTATTTTGCATCTCCTGTGGGCCAACGACATTCAATAGCCAACCGTATAAACCAATTCAGTTGAAAGTACAACCTATTCATTAACGTAACAATAGGCAATTTCAGACTAAATACATGACATCTTTAACTGAAGTTTTTCTTTCAATTCATTGACCCAAATCATTCAATTTTTTTTTTACTTTCCAGGATTATAACAACCAAACATTTTTATCTCCATTGAGTTTCTGTTTTCCTAGGAAATAACACAAGGATAAAACGAAGTGTGAGGATCTTGTAGAGCAGAAAAGTGAAAGTTGAGGGAAAATGGGCTTGAGTGAAGTTAAGGAGAGAGAGAGATTGAGAGAGATTGAGAGAGAGAGAGAGAGAGACTGATTTTGATATAACTAAAAAGCTATATTTGCTAAGTGCACTCCACTCCTGTTACCCTAGCTCTTCCTGTTATTTATATCTACCATTCTGATAGCTACCCCCCAGAGGAGGTGACATTGTGTAAGTCACAGATAGACATCATTTCATCAATGCAAAACTCAGGCTGCTCAACCAATGGGATGATCTTAGGTCCAGTCCTATGATTACACTCAAGTCTCAGTAGGACAGGTAACAGCACAGCCTTTACAGTGATGGCACACTGGAGGTCCCAGCACCAAGATCTGGCTTTTGATGCACTAGTCACCATGGATTTAGGTCATGTGCGGTCACAGGGCCAAACATGAGTGAGTGCAAAGCCACATCATCATTCAGGAAAGGCATCATTTCTGGGATGTCTTTCATTTTTCCCTGGCTAGCACATAGTGGCATCAGAGGTATTTGATAAGCACCCTTTCTCCAATGCAACTGTATCTCTGAGTTTTCATTAGTCAATAAATAATCTCAACAAAGAAGTACAGTTACTTGGTCCGATAAACAATAACCTCAGCCAGATTCTCAATTATTTTGGATTCTAGTATGTTAGTCAATATGCCTTGATGTTGTATTACAAAGAAAAAAGGCCATAGATTCTTTGTTCCCAACCAGAAATAGCTTTTTTTGTAACTCACAGATAAAAAGCACATTCCTTTACTGGTAAACATAATCTTCAATGAAAATGTACTTCTTCATTAAAATGATGAAAAATATATTCCCTGTTAGTTATCTCTGTATATGGAATATATTTAAGAGAAAAGATAGAGTCCTCTGATACAAATGAATGTTGTCAACTCAACCAAGATGACTTTAGTCCCAGCTTGTGCCCCCAGAATGGTTCCCAAATATTGAAAACTGGCTTTGGGATTTTGTTTGTCCACAGCCCATAGGTCCATGCCAACTGGGCTCCTGCAGTTTAGAATGAAAGCCACTCTCAGCTGTGTTAATCACTTTCCTTTATCAAAGCTACAAGTCACCACTCTCGATATTGTGTGTACTTTCAGAAAATCATATTTGCCTCCTGCAGCTTGATTTAACTCACTGAGGGGAGAGGCAGCTGCTTTTTTTCTGGCGGTAAAACTCCTTGGCTTCAGTCTGAGTTTTTCATCTCTGAGTGAGTGTAGATTTCAAAAATATTCCCTTAGCCTTTTTCTTCTGTTTGCTGCTGTATCCAAGGCAAAACAAACAAACAAGCATCCTAGCTTGTAATCAGAGAATAGCGACCTGTGTGAATAACTGACTCACCTAATTTTTGATCCCTTGTTGTCTAGCTTCTATCTATAGTCTCTGTCTTATAAGTTATGTATTAACATTGCATAGTTCTTCTGCTCTAAGATATGTGTCTGCACAGCCTGCTGTAGCCCTCTGCTTAAATAGAGTACACTTTTTTTTTCAGTTAAAGAAAGATGGTGGCAAATGGACCTTGCTTAGCTTTAAACCACTGAAAAATAAAAACTTTTTCAACAGTTTTGAGGACATGCCCATTTTTTAACACAGAGCAAGAAACGCCTTTTCCAAACCTGAGAAGTTAACTCATGCCGAAACGTTGATGTACAAGCTGCCTCCATTTCCTAAACTGAAGTGATTTTTGAGGGTCTGGCCATGGTGGCCATGACTCCCTCTGAAACAAAGGGCCTAAGGTCTTGCCATTCAGGCCATTTGTTTTCTCTCGTCAGACTCCAAGCACCTGTTAGAAAAAATATGTAATTCCCACTGTGAGCCTCAGTTTTGCCTGCTTGGCAGTTCATGCTTATTGATGAAATGCAGCTAGCTGTGTAATGAAACCCAAATTAAAAAAAAAAGCCTTAAGGGCTCTGTTCTAACACATTGTTTATGCTGGAGTGAAAATTGACTGCACATCGCTTGGTTTGTACAATTTACTCCCAAAATATTCCTATTCAGGAAATCCTGCAAATAGCAATATTCATCTTGAAAATCACCTCACAAAACTCTTTGCAAGCTGAGAAACACAATCAATGAGACGTGATGTAGAGGGTGGAAATTAGGCGTAATCACAGCCCTTTCCCATCAGTCAGCCCACTAGCAGGCATGCCTTTGAATTTTGATTTTCAAATGTACTCTCAATTTAGACATAAAATATGTTGATTTCAGATTTCAGAAATGATAATTAAGTGCTAAGAACCAGGGACCAGTTAAAATTTCTATAAAAGGTCTTATGTTTTTAATCTTTAATGAATGGTTTCAGTAATGAGCTGCAGGTATACTATTTATCTGACATAAAACTGCCTAACTACTGCTTTCCAAACTTTATATTAAAATATGAGCTAAGGGGGGGAAACACATAATTTTATGTTAAGTTTTACTGAATGGAATGCTTTCATATTGATGACAAGGTGGGTGTTTTCCTCCCCTCCAAAATGACTTTCCTTCTGTGGTCTATAAATAAACACAACTTACTACTCTGCTGGTTCTTCCTTACCATGTAAGAAGCGTTATTCCCAATAATTTCAAATCCACACCAAAAACTACCAAAGGACCCAATTGTAGTGACTGAATGATAAAGTATCTGAACACCAAGATCCCTGTTTGCATGTGTTCACACTGCTGTGAGGGTTGTCAAAGAAAAACTGCACTGGACAACTTGATAGGCAGGGAGGACTCTATTGGAGACTATTGCAATAGGGGAGAGAGATTGACCTCAACTCCATGAAACAAAAGGCAGGAAGGATTTTAAGCATTGAGATGTGCTCTTAGAAGAGTACTGGAGAACATTAGAGGGGAGATTGGTGAATGTGATCAGGTCATCCGTGTGTGCTAATTACCACCTATTGAAGATAGACTATTATCTTCCCACAGAGAAAGGGAGACAGGGGTGCTATCCTTCTTGATATTTACATTTCAAAAGGATGGTTCCCAGGCCCTTGAGAAAGCTAGTCCTGTTTTGTAGAAGATTTACCTCTCAAAGACACACGGAAGGAATTCACAATTGGAAGTTTTCTATAGTAAATGTGCTCACAAAAGTGAGGTCAGGCCTATAATCAGAAATAAACCTGTCTAAAGTTGAGTCATGCTAAGGACAGCCATTAAGACCGTCTCCGTCAGTCCCCTCTTTTATTCAAGGGAAACCAGGTTTCCTGTTGAACAACTTAGGAGAGCTAATTCATATAGTTCATCTCAGAAGCTTTCTGGTATTGAAGGATGAGTTGAACTGACTTTGAAACTTGGTAGTAGAAGATATTTGCTGGGTCGTGGGAACAGTCAGGTATTTAATGAAGGAGATTTTCTATGGAAGTAAGAAGAAAAACACAGATTCATGGTTGGAACAGACTCTAAACCCAGCTTCTGTGTCCAGAGGGCAGCCAGTTAAGATTCCTAGAGGTTGGGTTGGAAACATCTTTAGATGGTAGAGTAAGGGTGACAGTGGCCATCTAATGATGGCTGGAATGTTTTCAGTGATGGCACAGACATCAGAGAGGTTTGAGGAAGATTGTCCACAGTCGTGGCTATTTCCTGGAGTGGAGCATGAAAGACGTGGGCGTTCCAGTGAACTTCCTGAGTGACGCACACAGCAGCAGCTTCAGGCATGAAGGTTGTCCATACATAATTTACTGTGCTGGTGAGACCAGCTTCGGCTGGTC